AGTAAGTGTACCCAGCGACCTATTGCTACATGTGTGTTTGTATTTAGTAAGTATTCCCAGTTGCCATGAACGTAACCTGTTGACAGGTTTGTTGAATAACCTGTTGTACCTGAATGAAAATTGCAGGAAAATTCAAATTGTTCCCCCTTGCAAGACTGTTACTGTTTTTTTACATACTGGAAATGGAACTACACGTACATGTATTTACTAGTGATTCCAAACCTCTGGCTTCAAAAGGTACGATTAAGGACGTTTGATGGTCACTTAATGAATGGGTACATTATTTTGAGTACATGTGTAAGGACACGGCAGACGAGGCTGACGTCCCCGCTGTGTGCTGGCCGGTGGGACGTCAGGAAGAACCACGAAAACTCAGCCAATTCCTGTTCCAAGATTTTATTCGAAAAGTCCACGGCCGGCGGGGTGTTGGAAGTACAGCAGTCGGTGGCGGAAAGGCTGGCTGGTCTTAGCGCAAGTCTAGCAGGCTCAAGTCACGGACAGATTTGGAGAGTTCTCTAGCGATCTTCGGGCTTCTCTCCTTCGACTTCTCAAGTTCTTACCAAGTCTCTGGCTTCTCTCCGGCTTCCCTCCGTGTTTTCCGAGAGACAACCATTTTTATGCTCTCAAAGTTCTGTCCACTCCCATCCCCCCAAATTTGGTAATCTCTGTCAAAGTTGTGTCAAAATCACGTAAGGTACTTCGTCGGGATTGGACGGAGAAGATATGTAAAATGTGTCAAAATTGGATACTTTCACTGGCAGTTTTCGTCTAGACAATGCTCGAACTACCTGTCAAACGATTTTCTCATTTTTCGTGAGTGACCCTGGGGTCAAAAACTCGGGTTCATGAACTTTGGTCAAAGTAGGGCACCGAAAGCCTTACCCCTCGGATTTCGAGAGGGTTAGCCCACCCGAAACTTTATATCGTAAGGTCCAATGTGCTTGTCAAAGTTTTCTGGATTAGCCCACCCTGTTGTAGGGGCGCGCAACAGGTGCCAGCCTTTCCTTGCCACCGGTTCAGGACTAGGTACAGGGTTACAATCATGTTCCTTCTGCTGTTCCGACATCCACTTGGCCCGTAAGTATAAAAATATAAATCATAAGCACTATCCTGTAAGTTACAATGAGTTTTTCTTCTGTTTCCAATGGTACAACGCTATCCTGGATCCCAGCTTGACAAGAATAACAGGTTGTCCGGCCCAAAGGCCACTATCGCGATCCTTATCTCTATTGACTAATTGAGTCCTTAGACCTTGGTGACCCGATATGTCGGGAGGGTGGCTCGAAGCCGCCAAGACCGGGATACTGCAGTCCAAACATCTGTCCTGTCCATCACTGGGCAGACAGTCGACAAAGGCACTCTTACAATACTGTATACGAACGGGGATCCGGCTAACATTTACATAGTACATATTCAAAAATACGAGAGAAAAGATACATAGTTCGCAAAAGGAATACATATTATGAGTACTGAGAACATATTTAGGTACATAACTCAATTCAAGGTCCACGTGCACTGTGGGGTATCGTTTATCTAATGACCTAATCCTGTCACCTTATCTAGCGCGTGGGCAAGCGGCCCAAGGGGATAGCCCGGCTGGGGCCGAGGGGCGGAACCGGCCGGTGACATGCTGCTGGCTGCTTAGCAACAGCGTCTTGGGTGACCGTATACCCCTGTTTGTTACTTATTAACTCTTTCCTGATCCAGAGGTCGGGGGTCGTGCCCTCAAAACAACAAACTTAGCCTCCCTAGAAGCTTAAGTGTCTGAGAGGCTCTATCAAGACATTGCAGGTCATAACAGGTTTTGACAGGCTGTAGGGGAGCAGGAGCTGAAGAAGTATAAAGCGGGGGCTCCCGCTTACACATGTGCAAATGTTTGTGAAGTCCAGGACAAACTTTAATCGCTTCGGTTTTAAGTTAAATTGTTATTTCAGTGTATTTTTGTTATTTCCCTTAGCTTCACCAACAACTTGAAGAGAAAAAAGCCGTCATCAAGGAAAAGGAGGCAGTGATACAGGATCTGACAGAAGAGAATGAAACTCTGAGGGAGATGGCTAAACAGACTGAGGACATTCTGTCTATCTTGAAGGTAAGCACTGTGAGGCCTACAAAAAAAATGTTGTTTCCTGTTTCCCGACCAACCCTAGAAAAACCAGTGTGGACCCCTGTAAGGGACATGAATTTTTCAAGCCGATCGACCATTTCTAGCTCCATGATCTGACACCTGAGTGATGAAACATTGTACAATCGGTTTTCCAACATTGACATTGAAACTATAAAATAGTATAAGTGTCCTCATACAAGTTTTGCTTTGTTTGACTGTATTGTATAAGTTGGATCACCATATAGGGATTGCTAAAGTCTGAAAAATGAAAGAGAAAAAAGATAATCCCTACCTACCGACCTTAATTTTTTCAGGACTGAAACAGGAAACACAACATTTTTTCCTGGGTCTGAGCATTGTGCTAAGCACAGAAAATCTGCATATGTTCATGTTGCACTTACTAGATATTATTGAGGTGTTTTTTCACAACGCAAATAACATTACATCATTGCAAGGTATGAAGTGTTTTTTCTAAGATTGTCTATCTTGTATCGCAGCCAATAACTGAAGATGAGGAGAACCAAGGGTGTGAAGACAAGATAGTGGAAGCTGCTTCATCATCATCATCATCCCGCACACAGGAAGAAGGACCCACGTCATCTCAAGAAGGACCAGACAGCAGCTGATGTACTTCACATGAAATTTTGTTAAGACCTGTAAAATGTTCTGTAATTGATTGGTTATTTAAGTGTTTCCTTTCTCTGTATCCTGTATATAGTTTGTGATACTGCAAGTTTTAGCTTTAGGAATAGACCAAGGTTGGACAAGTTTTCAAAAAAGTACATGGTCCAAATCAACTTTAACAAAATTTAATGTCACATTTTTTTTTACTTGCTGTACAGACTTTTTTAGTTCCAACTTCATAACATGTACTTAAAGTATACCTGTAGATAATAAAACAGGAATTTTTTGGCACTGTGCACTGAACTCTTATATGTTTTCTGCACCTCGAATACAGGACTGCTCTCTAGTGTGAGATTGCATGTGTGGAATTTTAGATGCATTCTATACTGGAGAAAGCAACGAAATTTTGTGAAACAGTTGTTTGCAAAGGCCTTGTTCAACACATGTAAAAAGCTGCTAAGTGCCCAAAGACAAAGTCGACGGGCACATGTTTTATGTGTATTATTTTTGTCCATTTATCAAATAAAATGTGTCCCTTCTTGACAATCCTACCATTTTCTCTCTTATGAAGCAGGATGCAATTTGAATTTATTGCCCAACCACGGAATGTAAGTATAGACAAATAGGTTTGTTAAGGAACATCACACTCAATCAGTACCGGGTTTATCGTCAGTTGTTCACATCTCACGAGGGTTAGATGAACATGTCGCAATGAATCTTGTATGACAGAGAATCTTGTATGGGGTGGGCTTGATACTCTCTCTTTTTGTTTCAGCCAAGGGATGAATTGTGAGGAGCTTTAAGTAATGAAAAGATTGGGGCTCAATCACAAGGGTCTGGAGCAGCTGCCATTTGGTGCTAACTCAGGTGACCTCAATATGACCCCAGGTGCGGCCATAGGACTGTGAGGTTTGAACCACTCACACCGGGAAGGTCCCCTACTCTTTTCGATAAGTGCGGTGGGTTCTTTTAACATGCGTTTGGTGTGTCTCTCTCAAACATTGGACCTGCATTTAATGTCCCATCTGGGGGACGTCCCTAACCAAAGCTATGTACTCATTTACACGTGAGAGAACTGAGGAAAGTCATGTTAAGTGGCTTTGCCAAGGACACAAGATCAGTGGCATCGGGCAGGATTCAAACCTGAGACCTTTTGGGCCTGAGCCGAACACTCAGTGCCGTCATGCCACACAACCCCACTAAATCTTTTTAGTTCTTGGCATCTGCAGGATTGTTCCAGGTGACCGTGACTTGGTAAATAGCAAGTGGCGTCTAAATGATCATAGAGCACAGCCAAAAGCAGGGTTTAGGGTTTCTAAAGAATTTTTCTTAAGCTTTGGTTTCATGTGAAGTGCAGTCTCAGAACAATGAAGACCTGTGTTGTGGAGATAGTAAAACAATTCAGTGACGTAAGATTGGTTAAGGTTCTTACAATCAATAACAATAGCTGCTCTTCCATCCCAAGCCTGTTACATTCGGTCGATGCCATTCGGCCTTGCGATCCGTAACAAAGTCCAACACAGTGGTCTGGTGATAGGTTTACCTGCCCAGTGGCCTGTTGCAGAACGATGTGTGTTTTCCCAACTTCCGTGAAAGCGACTGTGAAAGGGGAAACTGTCTCTTGTGCCTGCATGGTTCTTATGTCCTATGGCTTCAAAACGGGAAGTACTGTCTAGTGTTCATGGTCAGTGATCCATACAAGGCGATGTGGATCAGTGTAGGCCTCCCGCCAACAGAAAGATAGTGCCGATTCGTGGATGTTATTGCCAAAGTTTCTTATCTTGAAAGTTCATCTGTAATGTTGATAGCATATAGAGGTCATTATGGAGCAAGTTTACACCGTTATTTCCAACACAAGAAATTTGACTTTTCGACTGTATAACTCCAGTCTGTCAAGGAATCTGCAATTCATACACTGCGTCTGAGACGGGGGCGCCACAGACTTCCTGCAACATATGACCCACTGCTCACCGAGTCACGTGTGTCATCTGCTTAACGTGACGTCACAAACGGCGGATTCCTTATTCTCTGACAAAGACTGAAGTTTGGATAAGTTTTGAAATTTGGATAAGTTTCAAATTGCTTCATTAAGTTTCTTCAAATCCAGGAAAGCAACAATAGCAGTAGGACGTCTTTGTAGAAATGTAGTGGTGGTATGAATTACGTATACGTTAGCTCAGAAAATTTTGTATTGTAAAGGATATTAATATTGGAAATGGAGAAATGTGTCATAAATTTCTGTCACACGTTTATTCATATAAGAGTAAATCTAAAGCCACTGTGTCATAAAACATCGTTATTTATTATTCCTACATAAATATTTGCATATTAAAGTAACTAATCATAATGAATCTAAAAACAGTACCGTGTTTATACCATATTCAAATAAATGAGTATCAAATTGAATATGATGAACAAGTATACACTACGTGCCAGTTCGCATTAAGAATTAATAATTTATGATACGTTTCGAGGTATACACTACGTGCCAGTTCGCATTAAGAATTAATAATTTATGATACGTTTCGGGTAGCATTTGAAATATCTCAACATTTACTTTGAAAAGAAAGCGTCATAGTGCTATGTTTAAAAGGAACCTAATATATATCACCATATACAATTGATGATCAACAGCGTTATTACCATCACATATATATCGTTTCTCCATTTTCTATAGACTTCTCTGGAGTGCAACATTTAAGTTTCTATACTATAGGTAGGCTACAAACCCGACAATCATCAATATTATCGAAATACTTCCAAAAAAATGTCATCACTATTTGCATATCAATCAATAGTTCGTGCTTATAAACCTGCATTTCTGCTACCAAGTTCTCTGGTGTCACTGATGAAAGGTAGTGGGTGCTACCTGAAATGTCTGACCGTTTCCAAAATCATATCCAGTTGCTTGAGTAACTTTTTTGGCTTATCGAACGATCCAACTCAGCTGCTGGTCATCCAAGGAAGTTGGTCACGTAATTACCCCTCAAACGGAGCCTGTCGTTCAATCAATAGTAATCAGCCGGTATGTTGAACTATATCAGTGGTGTGTATAGAACCTGTACAGCCTGGATTTTCTTATCGACCCATTAGGCCACACCAAGTAAATGTCATGGATGACATCCTCCGCAGACTCCCAATCTAATGCGATAGGGCGAAAAAAACCAAGGCGGGCCCAAAAAACAAGGTTCCTACATTTTCAAATTTTGACAACGTAAACCTTGTTAAAAAAAAGAAATAATACTTTAGTGTGCTATATTTATGCCAACTATTACAAAATCCATTTGTCACAGAAAAATAAACGTTTTTCAATCATTATACAAATTACAAATGGTATAATTCTGTGTACATGACATTTAAAAGGAATGAAATGCAACACTGCATGAAAGTAAAGCGCTAGACAAACATTAAATCAGAGCCTTGTCTTGTCTCCCCTCTTCATATATTCATCTGCCATCCACGTTCCGGCATGGCAACAGACATCTTTGCCCATTTTCGGCATGTTGACCACTTTCAGAAGGCAACAATTTTTTTTCTCTCAATCAGGCGAACAATAGCTGCGCGTTGAGTTGTGTCATCCATAAAAATTACTTGCCGTGGCCTTAGATTGATTCTTGAGGTGGCATTAGTCTACGCCATTACTTGCAAGGACAGTTGTTTTCTCCAGTCACGCTTGATCTTGAAGTTATTCAGTTCGTCGAATTTCCTGCCCAACGCCTTGTTGTTAACCTCGGTGACGAAGAAAGACCAGAAGGACGGAGTTCGCCTCTTCGGGAAGTATAACATGTTCGTGGCGACGATGTCGTTTTCCTCGACAGCCATGTCTAGTTTGGTCATGTACAACTTCCGCGTAGTGGGCCTGTCCATTCTGTATTCCACTGTAGAGGTGTAGCTCCTAACAGGCCTCTTGGGATACAGAATGACTGTAGACAGCCACCGGCGTGGTTTGTGGCGAGGCTCGCACTGCACTGCGCTGATGTGGTACTCTGGCGTGGACGGGTGAGTTGGGTTGTGGATGTAGGACGTCAGGTAGTGCACCTGAGACAGACCCAGCACGTACCGTACGTCCTCTATGTAGCGGTGCCCCTGTTCGTACTCGCAACAGCTCTTGTAGCAGTGTTTCTCTAGCGGCTCCGGAGTCAAGCAGACCCTCTCTGTAACGTGGACGGGCACCATCTCGGCACGATGTACGGGGCACATCAGTTAGGGTCTTCGGTCGCCTGCTACGGTCCTGCGAACACAAAGAAATACAGACTTCAAAGACACCTTCATCACATGTGTTTACACGCCCCCGGGGGCAGCACAGTTTGACCTACAACAGAGCAAACACAAACAACTCTTATCGACCAGTTTAACCCTTTACCTGGTAAACGAATCCGCGGCATGCATTAGCTTTGAGCTGTGGCGGGAAAATTTAGTCAAGCCAGTAGACCGTACGTAGGCAAGACGACAGTGTCTTCTTCTCTTCCGAGAGACCAATGATCACAAGCCACCGTGCAGACAGACCTCCCGCTTGTTTTATGTACATATAAGGAAGAAAGTGGCCCTTCACCTGACACGCAGGACCGGGTATGTCTAAACTGGCAAGACAGAGTGCACGACATATAGAAAGGGCCGTCGATCTTGAAGTGTGCGTTCACCCATAGCGCCCCTCTTCTGGATTGGACCCAATCTATTCCTCCAATGGAAAGTCGTATTTCAAAGGGAAGCTATAGCTAGGCCGACGCAAATTCCCTCTGCATTACCCCGGTAATTAAGAATGCGGAGGAATTTCGGTGCCTACTGAAATTCTTCAACTTCTGTTTTCTTTCCCTGGAAACGGAGGAGCAAATATAGGACGACATTCGGCTACAGCAATGTAATTTTATGGATGACACCAGCGCGGGCATAAATTCAAACGGAAAGAAGAAATTCTGATGTGCTTAGACGGAGGTCGACATGAAAAAAAACAGGGCAAATCCTCGTCTATCGGTTCAGAGACCATCAGGGATCCAGCAAACTTGAGGCACAATTTCTTGCGTCACGTTGATGGCAAGGGTTGACGTACAATCCAAGTCACACACGAATACCCAGTGTAGAAGCTGTCCATGATGGTACGACAAACTCTTTTTTTACATCAACTGAAATGCATACTCATCTCCAAGGACGGATAATACTGTTGAGTACAGGAACTTGAGAAGACATGTTCGTTTTGATATCATGCTTTGTCGCCTCGATTCTTGTTTTTATTTTTATTCCAACATTTCATGACTAGACATGGCACACTCAAGTTATGTCAACTTATTTTATGCCGCCACCAGCACCAATACAGGACGATATTCATTTTCACTTGAGTGAGGAAAGTCGTGTGAAGTGCCTTTCCCAAGGGTGCAAGATCGGTGGCATCATGGTCCGGACTCGAACCCGGGACCTCTTGGTTCCGAGTCAAGCACTCTGCCGTTACGCCACACGACCCCACGTTTAACAAGGTTTATGATCTAAAAATATGAAAATCTTGTTTTCTGCCCGCCTTTGTTGGCCCTATCGCATGAATTTTTGGAGTCTGT